GGGGGGGGGGGGGGGATGCACGGGGTGTCAGCCCAATTCTAGAGAATGTGTTGCTTACACGTGGTATCTTAAATGATTACTTTTTGGGGGTGGGGAGGGTGAAGGGAGGGGAGGGAGGCTATCCTCATATGTAGGGCAGAATGCTCTCTCTATCCTCTGTTCCGGCTTGACTCTTGCTGCAAGAAATGCATGCACCCATTGCCTTTGACAAACATGTGACTAGAATATAGACGACATCAACTCTGGATCAAGGTCACACGGTAGTTTACAGCCTCCGATCTTGCCAGTGTGGGCTTGTTTGTGTACAATGTATATTTCCAGCGAACGATGGAGGGATCACCATAGATTCTTCTCGCAACCGATTCCTGTTTTTTTAGTAATAGTATTATTGTATATTTGTATAGAATATAAGTAGGCTTTTTCACGTCGCGTCAGTTGTCCGGTTGATTTCTGGATCACCGAGTAGGAATGTGTATCCTTCCGGAATTCTTTTACTTCTTATTATACCAGATCACGGAGCTCTGGATAGGTCATAGGCAGAGTCCGAATAAATGAATGGTTGCAGCATGCATTTTATGCCCAATGCACTTCGCCAAATCCCAGTTTGTTATAATATGATACATTTGAGGGCGGCCAAATTTTCCTTTATAGGCGGGCAAAAGTTTAGCATGTTTGATTTCCACTTCACATTGGATCCAGTTTGATTAAAAATAGACAATCAGAAGGCTAAACGCATTACGGGGTCAGATCTTTTGTTTGTGCGCGGAATGTTGCGGCCCTAATACACATTTGGGTCAAATCTGATAAAGCAAAACAGAGATCATTTTGATATAGTGTGCACTGAGCAGTGCCATGCTTTTAATGTATCAAACCATATCAAATAGGTTGTTAAACGAAACGTTTTGCTTTGCACATTGGGTATTACAAGCTGCAGCTATATTTAACATCCCACGGATTGGGGTGGTCAACTGGAACAAAATGAAAGTTTCATGTCGTATTAAATTTTTGAAATCGTAGTAGCTTTCCATCGACGAGATACATGACTCTTGACTATAAACATGTGCTAACAGAACTACGAAGAGTTATTGAAGTGAAAAAGTGCATGCCAACCAATCCATGCTTACTGCATTTATTTACCATGCAAACTATGCACTTATTCAGATTCACGGGTCTTTAAATATCTGTGTTGGAAGCTGTTTGTTGGCCATAACTGAGTTACGAAGGTTGGTTTTTGTTTCTTACATTGTGTTGTTCAGTCTTGATCCTTATTCATAAAAACCATTGATTAGTCAAATAATATTAGTCATGTGCACCACATATAGAGGCTTTAAAAAATAAAATCAAGACTGGACAAAACTATGAGGGAAAGTGTTCACCGACACGGCATTTAGTCATAACATCTCCGTGCCTTGTGTATTTTCTTAATTATTGAACATGTATGTGTATATATATAATTACATCATTACTTGATCTTTAGCTAGGGTTTCTTTTCTATGATATAATAATCATTACTTGTAAGTATTTTTCAGCTCGGCTATGCTTGCCATTTATTTTTAGTGCACTTTCGTGTTTTCATACCTTTCAACAAGTCTGTTTTTATTTGTTGCTTGAAATCTGAACCTTTTGTTTTGATTACATACAAACCTTTCTCGTAAAGGTATATCCCTGTTGCTAATGTGCTGTTGCCAAGCTCATTGCCAGCTCATTTGTAACCTATCATCCAGTAAAGAATGATTACTTTCTGCCTCGGGGTATTGGAGAGACGGGGTATGCCATAGTAAAATTGTGTACATCTCTTACAAATGTCGGTTGTTTGCACCAGGAACAACATAGTTATTATGCTGGAATAGGTACCTGAAGCGGAGCGTGAGCGTATAAGTTGGACTGTATGTGCGTGCGTGCGTGCGTGCGTGCGTGCGTGCGTGTGTGTGTGTTTGTGTGTGTGTGTGTGTGTGTGC